AAAAGATGACCGGATCATAAGAATCGTCTAACCTTGCCCTAAAGAAACATTTACTCGACAGTGACCGACTTGGCCAGGTTGCGAGGGAAATCCACATTCAATCCCTCAGCAACGGCAAGCCAGTAAGAGATAAGCTGCAATGGGATCACATTGAGCAGACCCTGGAGACAATCCACGGTCTTGGGCACGTTGATCTTCTCGGTCAAGGCGGACGAGAACTCGGGGTCATCCTGGTTGCAGATAACAATGGGGCGACCACCACGAGCAATGACTTGCTGGTAGGCGTTCAGGGACTTGGTGAACAGGTTGTCACGGGTAAGAATCATAATAATGGGGAGGTTCTCGTCAACAAGAGCCAAAACACCGTGCTTCAATTCGCCGGACATGACGGCTTCGCAGTGGAGGTATGAGATTTCCTTGATCTTCAGGGCACCCTCAAGGGCAGTGGGGAATTGAGCACCACGGCCCAACAGCAGCAAGCTCTTTTGGTCCTTGAAGAACTTGGCGCACAGGTCCCTGATAGGATCATTGAGCTTCAATATCTGCTTGAACTGCTCGGAGATCTGTCCAAGACCCTCCATGATCTCCTCACGTCTCTCCTGCTTAGAGGCACGATCCTCACTCAGCGACAAAGCGAACATGACCATAGCCACAAACTGGGAGGTGTATGCCTTGGTCGAGGCCACACCGATCTCGGGACCAGCGTTAATGTGCACACCGCAGTGGGTGAGGAGGGAGATGGAAGATCCGACAACGTTGACACAACCAACGGTCAGGGCGCCACGTTCCAGACAGTAGCGAAGAGCCATCAGGGAATCAGCGGTCTCTCCAGACTGAGAGACAAACACACAGGTGTCATCACGGAACACTGGGGCCTGTCGGTCAAGGAAGTCGGAGGCGAGCTCGACTGCGATAGGAATCTCGGTGAGCTCTTCGAAGATACCACGCACAGCCATGCATGAGTGGTAACTGGTACCGCAGGCAATGAAGATGATTCGGCGGCAGCGACGGATAGTCGAGATGTACTGACGGAGACCACCGAGGGTGACCTTCTTGTTGGCCACATCCAGACGACCTCTCATAGTGTTGACGACAGACTCGGGCTGCTCGAAGATCTCCTTCTGCATGAAGTGGTCGAACTTGCCCTTCATGATTTCCTGCAACTCAAGTTCGATGGTCTGGATGGCACGGACGTTGGAGGTACCGTCATCCTTGGTCAGACGGTGGATGTTAAGCTGTCCCTCGTGGATGTGGGCGATATCGTCATCCTCCAGGTAGAGTACCTTCTTGGTGTGCTCCACAATGGCAGATGGGTCAGAAGACAGGAAGAACTCGACGGGCTGGGGGATGCCATCGTCAGACAGGAATGCCCGCGACTGGGAGCGGTGCAACAGAGACTTGTCAGGAGGAGCAAGGAGGCTTGTGGCAGACTTCTTGGCAGCCGCATTCTGGGAGGCCTGCTCCGCGGAAAGGACACCATCTTCCGAGTATTCAACATCGACGAAATCCACCTTCATCTTCTTGGAGGTCTTCACACCGATGACCAAGGGGGAACCCTTACGGGCCGCAATGACCTCATGGGGGTAGTGAACGGACTTGAGCAGCAAACCAAAGGCACCCTCAAGCTCTTTGATGACTGCCTTGGCCAGGACTGTGAATTCGATGTCGGGGTGTTGGTCGTATAGGTACTTGGCGAGCTTGGCGATGCACTCAGTATCGGTCTCAGTCTCGAAGCGGAAGCCCTTGCTCTCCAGCAGAGCCTTCAATTCCTTATAGTTGGTGATGATACCATTGTGAACCACGGAGAACTCCCAGTTGGCATCGGAGCTATGCAAAGACAATCCAATTAGCTTCTCAATCTCTTGGTGATCCGGGAAAAAGAATTTTCCTGTTGACGTTGGGGGACTTACCGGTGGGGGTGGCAGTTCTGGCGGGAGGGGGTGCCGTGAGTAGCCCAACGGGTGTGAGAGATACCGGCATGAGACTCGAAGGTCTTGGTCATGTCATATGAGCTCTGCTCGATGAGTTCCTTCAACTTGGCCACCTTGCCAACTTCTTTGAATGCACAGACTTCATTCTTCTTGTTGCCGTCCACGGCCATACCAGCCGAGTCGTAGCCACGGTACTCCAATCGGGAGAGGCCTGGGAAATAACGGTGAGCAAAAGGTTAAAATCGTCCGATTTTCTTCTGGTCACTTACCATTAAGCAGTGTATCAATGATGAACCTGCGGTCCTTCTCCACGAGGTAGTTGATGTAACCGAAGATTCCACTAAGCAGACAAGTCAGTATTTGACCATTGAGTGAATGTAGACAAGAGCTTACCACATGATGGGCAATGAAAAAAAAGTGAATGCAAAAACAAGGGTATTGAGAGAATAAAGATTGTAGAGGATTGTAAAGGGGATTAAACGAAAGCAGCGAGAGAGGAGAAAAGATAGAGAGAGGCAAGAAAGGCACAGGTGTTTCGTATTTATAGAGGGGGGGGCAAGAACAGAGAAGGTAGGGGGAGGGGTGGATTATTATTAGCTCTTGCACTTTGTGCAAGCTTTGGTCCAATGAGGGGAGTGCTCGGACCAATTTTGGTTCCCAGGGGAATCGTATGTCTCACTTGGCACACATATTATTTCTATATTGTACTCCGTATATATTATTTATATTATTTGTATTATTTATATTCTATCATGCTTATTTTTCTTACTTCCTACTTCAGTAAAGGTATAAATAAAATTTGAATAACAATGCTGTTGAAAATGGTACATAGTGTCAATAATATGGAGTAAACAAATAGTTTTCTTTTCTTCCCTTTCTTGGCAACTTCAGTGCCTGGTTGCCCAGGTACTGAATTTGCCTAGTGATTTCTACCTTGGTCTGATCTTCGCCAGCTTTCTCTCTTGGTCCAATATATCCACGCTAAATCGGAGCTACTAGGCGAGCAAAAAAAAAGTGGCTGAGCTTTTTAAGAGACGTTCAAAGAAAAAAAAAAAAAAAAAAAAAAACATACGGGGAAATTTTCTATAATTATATCCCTTAGTGGCCCGGCACATTCCTTAGTGGAGGATCCCCTGGGAAAAAAAAGGAACCTTGGAAAAAGGTTCGACAGATGTTCCACGCCTTTGCAGTTGCTATTTTAGCCATTTAACTATTTTATAATACCCCTGGACTCGGTATCGCCGACTGCATATACAATTGGTCCGCAATCAATTGCCCCCCGGAGATATATTATCTGTTTGGATGTCATACCCAAAGTACGGAGGCTGAGAGGGACTACCCACTACGCTACTTTATTATACTCCTCATCATAGGTTACCTATGATGTAGATCATCTAAGATATATGGTTAATCTCTCTATATATATATCAGCCTCATGCCATCCTTCAATTGGAGGAAGAGAAAGAGGCAGGGCAAGGGCTGAGCTATAACCAGTAAGCTCGAATATACCGTTGTCGACCCCGTTCTTACCTGAATTGCACATACTCCGTAGATATATTTCAAGCTGAGATGGCTTTCTCTTTTTCCCCTTTAGTGCTCACCCCTTGCCGCTTTTTTTCTCTCTCTCTCAGTAAAACTGAGCACCCCTAAGTGTTCCATAATCACAGGACCCGCCCCCGGGGCTCCATAATTACGTAGGCCTAATCCGACCATGGATGAATGGATTTGCACTAAACTGAGCAAAGTACTCCGTAGCCCTACCCATATAAGTCTATCACTAACACTCTGACCGTTGTCCCCTGAAAGAAAACCCCTTAAAAGGCTGGCATAATTAATATAGCCATCGTACTTGTTTCACTTCTGCGTATCCGTATATTCTGTAGCCATGCAGTCGGCTTGAGGACACTATGGCACCATCAGAAGATCTCTTCCCACTTCTATCACTAGTTATATGATCGGAGGCGGAAGCAAATGTTCCCCGTCATCTTTATCCTCCGCAAATTTCACTTCCTTTTCCTCTCCCCCTATATTTACACTGTTGTGCATTAGAGGCCTTTCTACTTCTGATACCATGCCCTTTACTTGATATGTCTCCTTCGCCGCAATATTCCCGTCGAATCCTCAACGAAGCTCTATAATATCTGTGCCTCTCTATGTCTATCGATTAAAGAGAATTCTCGCAACGAAGTACATATTGTTCTGCTCTAGTAGCCATGTATGTTTTACAGCACTGATGTCCAAGTGGACCGAGCGCCTAGATTCCCCCTGAAGTTATCGTATTGAGATATACTATATAAATGATAGAAAATATCGTTTCGGGGTGTGCATATAAGGTAGAAATTGCCAAGTAAACATGTGATATTCAAGCATCTAGCTTATCTACACAGCCTCATTTAGACCCTCTGTTTCTCATCGCAACAATGCATTAGAATGAGATAAAGTAATTATCAAGAGGGACTACTGGGTGCACGTCGAAGTGCATGGTGGAAATGTGAGAGAAATTGGATTGTTGTTAAAGCCAAATTACAGAGGCTAAGAAATCTGACAGTAATCCAATGGCTCTGCCAAGTATTTGCTTCTGCTTGGTTAAGCAACCTCGTAGCAAAGTGATAGCTTCGGCATTGTGAGCTGAAGATTTTCGAAAGCGAGATTAGCCATAGTGTTCAGCGTATCTGGGTGATTCTCGCCAAGCTTCGCCCTGCAAGTCTCGATCACCTGCATCTGGAGCTGCTCGGCTTCCTCCCACCGGCCCTGGTTCCGGTACGTGTCCACTAACAGGCAGTCTCCTTTTGTATACATGGCTGATGTGTCCCATGCCAGATTGTCCTCCGCCGATAGACCGTTATAAAAGGTCTCAGACCAAAAATCAAGTCCTAGAGTCATTTTCATTATTAAAGGGAAAAGTTTAACTTCATTGAGTATTAGTGGTCTAATTGTGTTAAGGAAGGTGCCCTGAGGTGAATTCCTGCTAGGTGCATATTAATTACGTGATAGTTCTCTCCTTGCCGTTCTCTCTTTTCTCCATTTCTGTCCAACAAACCACAGGTTTTATACACTCCCGAAAGCCCATCATCTCCTACCGGGAGTCCCTGGTAACTCAGCCGGGGTCGTAAAAAGCTCATATGTCACCGGTTTGGCCTCATGATTGTAGCCATCGCCAGTGGCTTTAGCTGAGTCTATATCTTGCGATGATGCTTGGTGGCGCCGTCGGACAAAGAGAAATCCGAGTGCGATCAGCACTGCTAAGCCGGCGATACTTACGCCGACGCCAATGCCCGCTTTTGCGCCAGTCGAGAGTCCGTTCGTATGAGATGGCGAAGGCTCTGAAAGAGATGATGCAGTTTTCGAGGTTGTTGCGAAAGCAGTCACTGATGCGGAAGACGTCGTCGTCGACTTCGATTGGATGCGGAATCCCGGTGATGACAGGCGAGAGCCAGTGTATTTGTGGTCTGTTTGATTCATTGGAATAAAAGTAACAGCATACTCTTTAGTCTTTGACAGGGTGGAGTCAGGTATGTCGATGGTCCAGGTGAAAGAACTCCCACGATCGATTGAAGCATTCGCTATAATGTGATATCGTTAGTCTAGTATGCAACGGGTTGATTCTAGGGCTTGCTTACCAGTAATAACCTTGGACCAGGTTGAGTAGTCTGGGTTCCATGCATTCACGTATAGCTTGGCTTCATCCAATCCTTCAATCGTGCGGTCCCTTTGGTCCTTGTCCCAACCACTCCAGCTGAGCTTCACTGTGTCTCCAATATACCAAGTCTCCACAAAGTTGTCATCATTTCCATCTGGCTTGTTCCAGCGTTTGCGGGCAGGTTCAGCACTTTGGACCACTTGGGACACAGAGATCAGGAGCAGCCAAGCCCACGATAAGTTGGCCATGAATTAGATAGAGAGCCAACCTCTCTGTTTCTTTGTCACAGCAAAAAGGGTCAATCCTGTTCCAATATCCAAAGACACCGGGATCTTCTGGGAAATTTATGAGACTGTACTCTGTACAGGGTGTTTTCGGGACACTAACACGCAAGGCCAGGTCGAAGCCCTCTAGCCCCTGACCAAAGACACGTGAGAAATTAATGTATATGCATCAAGCCCCTGTCAATTGGGTTGCGGATAGGCAAATCCCGACGAATGTGAGGGCAGGAAAATGGCTACATATGTACGGAGTACTCCGTACAGATTGTCTACTTTCCATGAAGAGAAGGAACTATCAACAGAGCCAAATCCCGCTCTCTCATCTTTCTCAGCCACAAACAGCGAGTTGTAATCTTAGATTCATAGGGATAGCACTCTAAGTAGCGGCATGTACGAGTCATGGGCAAAAAACGAAGAAGCAAACAGCCGGTCTAATGCGCCAAGATCAGGTTCATTTCTTGGCATGCCTTGCCGTACTCCGGCCCCTTACACCGAACTGATACTTAGTTATCTGCCAATTGAGCCTCAATCCATGGATGCTGCCTTGTCACCCTGGTGTGCCCATTTACCCAAGTGCGCCGCCAGTTCTACTAATTCGTTATCGTATCCTGCAGTAAATGACAGCCCTAATATTTGGCAGAGCTGGCAATCGAGCTTGTGTTTTCCAAATGCCAAGAGAGTACATTTACACCTCATTAAAATGAAAGGATCGGCGGAGAGCAACTTCCAAATTATGTTGTACAAAGGTTTGTAAAGCAGGGGCCTTGGCATTTTGGGTTATGTAAGGTCTCATTTGTGTATTATGTAATCTTATGGAGTTCTAAATCGGCAAGAACTTCAAGTCAAAAGCCAGAATGAAGGATTAAGCCAATAGAATAAGAGTAGTAGTAGTAGAAAAACACTTCATAAATCGAGGTTTGTCACATGGATACTAGCCTAATTCGGTAGTATGTCGACCTTGCTAGGAGGGTGCGAAGGAGGAAAGGGTAAGGCTGATAAACGCCTCGCATGTCAAGACTGGGGACGCGTGCTCGGTTTTACTCAGTGAGCAAAAAGCGGCAAGGGATGATCACTAATACGGAGAGGGAAAGCCATGTCGCGCGGCCTAAAATCCGGTGCATATGTAGGTATATAGGTATAACACAAGATATAACCAAGCCTTATCTGTGCTCATAATTCTTTTAAAATGGTCGAGATGAACTTTGTCATGTGGTTAATGGAATTAATGGAATATAGCCACTCACAAGCCGTCATTTCGGCTCCCAAGTGTTGATCTCGTAGATGCCCCACCGCCTTCCACTTGATCCCTGGCATCCCCACAAACAGCCACCACATGGGAGGCTTGGACTGAATGTTATCTCTCAAGGGTACTTGGACAGAGCCGCGATGACAAGTGTGGAGAAATCACAGTTGTCTGCTCGTCGGAGGAAATGGGCACCTAAGCTTAAGTCTGGGTGTATGACCTGCAAGTAAGCTCTCCTTTTCAAATACTAGAAGCACTCGCTGACTCCTTTACAGAATTCGCAGAGTCAAATGTGACGAAGAAAAGCCTCAGTGTCGGCGATGTATTTCTACAGGTCGAAAATGTGATGGATATCCTCACCCACCTTTTGCAGTTAAAGTTTTCTACGACAATAATTCGTGTCGACAGCGACTTGTTAACGTGAGTAATTCACACGAACGACCCTGGATGATATAATCACACTGAATAGTCCGATCTCGTCAGTCCTGGAAGTTCATCTCCTTTGTTCGGGGGTTACCCTTTGGACGAAATAACGATTCCATATACGCATATCTCAGAGCAAACTGATCAAGTTCGACTACTTTCTGGACGAACTTCCCCCCTAATATACCCCCTAGCTGAATCGTGGAATACTCACTTCATGCCCTTCGTCATAAATAAGTTCAAGCTCGCATTCGAAATGTCCAAAAACATCTTTAATACTATTCCCGATGTTCTTTCCAAAGCAGAGGAGAAGTCTGCTCTGTATCAGGCCTGCAATGCTGTCGCACGCGCTTATATGGCCAGCATTACCCGGACTTCGAAGGCAACCTCCGATCGAGCCAAAGCATACGGATCTGCGCTTATGGCCACTCGTTCAGCCATTCAGGATCCTCAGCGATGCAAAAGCGACAATACATTATTAGCTGTATGGCTGTTAGGACTATACGAGGTAAGATTCGATGCATTCATTAGTCAGTACCGACTTCTGCTGACGCTTGAATTAAGCTCCTCTTGGGCATACGAAAGGGCACTGAGCCGGTCGCGACTCATGGATGGCAATTCCACAACCAAGTGTTGTCAAAGTTGATTCGCCTGCGTGGCCTGGAGCAGTTTATTACCCGGAGCGGGCGGAATCTTTTTGTCATTATATTTACTAACATGGTAAGTTAGCCGTCCACATATTATCTTCGTAGCTAACAACAGCATGCCAGGAAACCCAAGCATTCATGTCTGGCCAAGAATGTGAAGAGACATTGACATGGTTTCTTGAGTACCATAAATATTGCGAACTATCAGAATATCCATTGCTTAGGGCATGTATTTTCTCGCATCACTGTGCCCGCATCTGCAGCCGCGTTCGCGCTCTAGTTGATATAGGTGACCTCGACAAGGTGCTGTCCACCTCACCGTCCATCCTCCAAGAGATGGATGAAGTGGAGCAAATAACCCATCCCTTATCCCACGACGAGGCGGTGGCAAGCTGTGTGATAGATCACCCAACGACGCCGTACACTCGGCCGAAGCACACATACCCGTGTTATGTCGGTGTCCACATCCTCCAAAGCAACTTCCGCATGCGACTCTCATACGCAGTCTTGGAATTCTTGGGGTATGCATGTAAGGCCCCGGGTTGCACGCCTCAACAACGAATGGTTTTTAAGCGGTACCAGCGTCGCTGTGTCGAGGAGCTCGAAGCTCTTGTGGATAAAGCCTCACGTATCCTGGATATGTTTCCCGATGTGGGGTCTGGTGAGAACCCCGATCGGGGGAAAGACGTAGTGGATGAACCGGATGGCAAGGATTCCGGCACTGAAGGGTCACCAGACATAGTAAATGCTCCGTTCGAAGACCCACGCGGACGATCCACCCCAGCTGTGAAACTCTGTTTTGACCTTCAACAGTCAATAGATGGGAAATCCACTCTACTATTCAATCACAATGACCGTGGAATGTCCGTTCTCCGGTTTTGGTTTGGAGATGAGACAGAAACACAAGAGACAGTCATGACATAGCCCTAACCGAAGATATGAATGTTAATATCTGAAACATCTAAGAAGAATGAATTGAACCCTACCATTAAAATGTACTTGTTGACACAACGTTGAAGCTTGATATGCAAATTTAAAGTAAAGCAAGATAATGAGACCGATGATATAGCCATTATCTTCCCACTTGTGCATCTGCGTGGTCGGTTAGTGGTCGAGAGGATAAAGGAGGTTAGATGTACACATCGTCTTTGAGCCCTAGAAATTTTAACGCGCCGACAGCTAGCAAAAGGGCAAATAAGTTGTAAACGACCGCCCATGAAATGCCCAGTCTCACCTGCCATAAGGTCATTTTGGCCATTTCAATCACCATCGGGAGCCTGGAAGATCTTGGTGGTGTACGGGCAGTTGCGTTAGGGTTTATCTTTCCTGATGCCAGCTATACAGCCAGCATTACCATATTAACGGTGACGGGGGGATTTCCACCTTTTTCTTACCGATTTTCGATTGCTTTGGGTGAATCAATTAGATTATACAAAGGCGGAACGTGAAAGGAATTATGGGCATCTGTTGTAGCTGCTGGGATCTGTAAAGCAAAGACTTTCTGCTAAAACAATTTCTCAAACAAAGAAGAGCCCATAGAACAGCAAACGCAGAGGCCACCCCAGTACAGTAATCCCAGGGGCTGTGCCAGTGGAGGGACGACTAGACTCTGAGGTTGTGGGTGAGGCTGTTTGCGTGCTGGTTGACACACCACTTATGCTTGTGGAGGAGCCCGTGGATAGGGCCGTGGTAGTAACAGATGACCCTGTCGAATTTTGCCATCTTTCAACGCCATCTTTCAACCACATACTTAACCATGGTACTGTTGTATCTTTGAAGGTAGAGTTCATGAACCCCATCGACATGGCCTGCATCGCAAAACTCGTCACCTTTATCGCACCATGATGCCATGCGGTCACTGTACTCCCTACACACGGTGTTGTTCGTTCGCGCAAGTATCTAATTAAGAGGGCGAGAAACGTCAGTTAGTGCAACAATGCTAGTAGGTAGATTTGTCACCGGCGTGACTGCTTACTCTATTGTGAACGCTTGTGCCACGATTATAGGTTGTGTTGGCAATGTGCGTTGGGTCGCCAAACAAGACCGCCGCAATAACTAAGGATGCGTCAGCTTGAGCGTATTCTCGACAGATCTTAGAAAAAATTACCACTATTCTTAACTATATCTGGTGATAGCGGTGCATTATGGTTGGATTGGCCACCGGCGCCACCGCAAAGGACATCAGAGGCTACTTAAGCACCCTAATAATCGGTTTAACATCATCCACGGCGATTCACACAATGCCCTTATCACATACCTGCGAGTAGCCTAAGAGGGCCATTTTTGAATCCGGGCAGGGCGCGTGGTACTCATTTGCCAGCCGCAGCATAACATTTGCCCCCTCATTCTCTGACGGGATGTAGTCATCAAGCGTTGCAGGGTATTCCACTCCCACGACCTTGGAGTCTTTGATCCGCGCTGCAATAAGCTGTGCCAGATACCCAGGGCTCCCGGAGTTCGCAGGGAAGAGACCATTCTTACTGGCAGCTGCTTGCTCTTCACTGCCTCTGGCAACAATCATGTACAGACCGTCCGTACAGTCTGGGTCTATTGTCGCAGTAGCAACGGCTAAGAAGCCAAATGTGAGTAGAAGCCCACACATATTAGGCAATGATAAGATGTAGAGAATGGAAGTTACTGTCTTTGTGTTTGCCCAAAGAAGAAAGAGCGACCTTTTTAGTAGCAGTGGTTGTATATAATCTTGGATGTATTATTAGGCATCCCACCCGTTCTGCCTCTACTACAAATGACCTATTAGACATGTGAGAGTATAAAGATGTGCTTTGGGCTCCGATTGTCTCCATGTTTTAGTCAGAACCCAGCTAAGCCTTTCCCTCTGACGTCTTTACCGGTTAAGCTTTTTGGTCTGCTGGGTAATTAGAGCCTGTGGCAACAGGCACGCAGCCTTTAGCTCTTAAATTGTCTCACATCAGCTAGCTCTATATATAATCCCCTATTTGTCATTCTTTATTCAACTTGAAAGGGGATAAGCGACATGAAGGGGGCACGGACTCGAACACATCGTATCAACGAGAACTGGGCCCGCCGGAATTCGTTGGCAGACATCGTGTCAGATGTTAGAAAACCTTTATTATTAAATCGACAATGCTTAGATTCACTAGACTTGGTCCAAACCAATTTTGGGGTTAAATCCCCGTCATTGGTTCAAGCGTCTCTGGTTTGATACGATAAAAAACAGGTATTCATTCATGTTGAAGATCTTGATTGTGATCAACAAATTGAATTCCACATCATCTTCGGAATAGCCTCTTATATATTATTCTAACCTTGTACAACATATTGGCATAGCACAAATATATACACAGTCAGCATATGCGACACCACTATTTTCTCACCCCATCTCATGGGGTTTAGATGGAGCTGATAACTCCGCCAGTGCACCCTTGGCTGAAAGCTCCCCAACCTGAGCACTGGAAAGTTCCGTAACTTGAGCACCCTGCACTGGTAGATATGTGTGATGCTCTGAAGGCCCTTCTGTTGGATTCCAGTAGACAGGATCAGCCTTGTTACTACGCCTGCGACTGATGAACCAAAGTGCCGCTACCGTAGCTAAAGCCAAGCCAGCCAAAGCGCCAATCACTGGACCTGCAATCCAGGCCTTTGAAGACGAGGGATGTTCCGAGGTCATTGCGGCGGTTGTTGTTGGTTTGGATGTTGATGTTCCGGTATGGCCAGGGGACGCATTCGTGGCAGCAGTTTCGACGGGTAGGTTCTCCAAGCCCGATGGCACCGCCAGGGTATTATATTTCAAGTTTGCCGAAGATATGGAGGCGCTCGTGGCAAATACCGAGGAGGTGTTTGTCGTGCCACTGGAGACCCATGTGCTGGTCGAGAAGTAGCAAGAGGCACCGAGCGTCGACCCGGTCATGTTGCAGTCCAAAGTTCCAGTGACGATAAAGATAGTTTTGTTCCAAAAGCTAGTGATATCGTAATGAAAGTCCTGGAAGGACGGACCGGCAGTGAGAGTCTGGGGCAAGAGATAGCCGGAAGAGGTACATTGCTTGGTCGCGCTAGATCGGCAGTCAATCTGATATGTGGTGGCTGTGGCATCGGCGCTCATGACGCTTCCTTCCACGTTGTTAAAATCCATATCGTGCAGGGCCGGGAAGAGAATGTCGATGTTTGTCGATTGTGGCGTTGTGGCCGCTGCGATGAGTATCATTGAGGCCATGGCCAGGGCCATACTGATGATATTGATATCGTGAAGAGTCATCGTGTCATGTCGAGCAAGAGCAATGGAGGATATTTGATGCCTTGGTCTAGGGGATTGGCTTTTTTTTTTAAATAACAGCAGAGATTATCAGTCCTAGCACAAGGGTCCGCCATGGCCTGCTAGGCCAGTGCTTGGTTGGTGTGAAAGGAGAGGACGGGAATGAGAAGTCAATCATTATTATGATTGGATCACAGCAGCAATAGTGGAATATAAAACCTTCCGCTAATCTTAAGATGTGATTTCGGTCGTCGATCCTATGTAAAACGCTTGGCCGCCATCTCAACTTAGGGTTTAGAGTGGACCCTGTAGGAGCCAGAGAAGGGGACTGGGGATGACCGTGCAACCCCCCCCCCCCCCGGGAGGCTTAGGGACTAAAGTAGGAATACGCAGTAAGCCCTGGGGAAATTTTATCAACTATACTCCGTATAAGTTGTAGTATTTGGAATTCTCCGTAAGACCCAGAATGTACCGTAGGCTTAGATTTAGAACTTAAACTTCCACTTGGCTTTGCAGCTAAGATTTTTGGGAACATCAATGGTAGATCAACTGCAATCAACTGCTGTCTGAGGCTGAACTGAGGCCCATAAAGCTGACTGCTGGACATTTTGATTGGCTCGCTCGTTCAACACTTTCCTCGTATTTTCTTTGTACATTTCATGGCGTAGAGGAGTATGGAGTATACATGTCTGAATATTGCTATATAGAATAAGCATAAGTACACATGTAAGTCGGATTTGAGAATGCAACAATCTTCAGAACTATACAGAGTAAATCCCATATATCTCTGTTCAAAGCAATGGGTGGTCTACCTCTATGGAGAAGCCCCTTAGTAAGCTACATGACAGTGCAGTTAGAATGTTTGGAACCCTAACCAGCTTTAGTCAAAAGCGAGCGATCGACGAGGTCAAATAGTCGACGAAGTGGCCGATCTGACAACCCAAGATGAGACGCTGTTTGACAATCCACAGTTCGAGCACTATGAAGCAACCTCCAACATTCAACTCTTTTTTGATCTCTTCTTTGTTGCCAATTTGACCTCCTTCACAAATACTCATGAGATCAATAGTTCACAAAGTCTGTCCCAAATCCACTTGCCCCGGACTCTTGGTCAATATGCTAACTCGGGTTCTCTCACTGTTAGAACTAAGCTCCTACATCGGGTTCTTCTGCATCCTATGGTTTACTTGGGCCCAGGTCACTTTATATGATGTCCGGTTCGCCACAGACAGCATCATCGAACGCGTCGCCCATGCGTGTCATTTTGGAGTTATGGTCGGAATTGCGATCATTGGACCAGAGTTTCTAACGGAAAATGAGGGGTGGGGACCTTTGCAGCAGCTGTCACTCATCCTGATGGCGAGTCGGGTGGTTCTTTTCTGTCAATATGGGTCAACTCTATTCTTTACCTGGAGGTATCGCGCCACCCGTTTGCCCTTGATAGCAGTGATGGCGTCCTTGTTCGTTGCTGTGTTCATCTATCTCGGTTTATCGTTTGCCTTCTACCGACGTACAGCTTACGACGCATACATCGCCTGGCATGTAGTTGCTGTGATGGAGGTCGGGGTCAACCTGACCCTTGCAGCTCAGTGGGAAGCCATGTCGTTTGAGAGGACACATCTCATAGAGGTTGACTTGTTTGACCTTGATCATCGTACGTTACCTATATACCTTCTTACACTCGGAAGCAGTGGCTGATCTCAACAGCTCGGCGAGGGCATCATCGGCCTAACCAAGACCATTATCAAGATTGAGACATTTGACCTCAGATTCACCTCCGCAGATATTGGTTCTATTATATCAGCAGTGCTGGTCATTGTAAGAACCCCGACCTGTTAGATACTGAGGCAGATATACTAATATTTGAAACAGTACCTTGTATATCAACTATATTTCGATAATGTCCGCATGGAGCCATTTGGTTCCGTCAACCAGCAGTTGTGGTCTTTACTCCACTTTCCTTTCCATCTAGCTCTTGCTCTCATGATGGAAGGGACTAACCAGATCCTACTGTGTGCTCATGTTGTTCGAGACCTTTTTAATTTGACAGCTATTTTCGAAGGAGATGTCTCACTGCATGATAGGCTCATTACGCTGAATGAGACAGTCCATACCATCTATGAGAGATTCCCCTCCACAGAGGCTGTTATTAACGAGGTTGAAGAGTCCTTGCATGCACTTTTGGAATCTACTGCCAATACCACGCAGGAAGAGATGTTGGCAGAATGTCAACTCGTGGTAAAGGAAATGGCCAAAACAGCCATTGAAGGTTACGGTTGGGAACCTCCAAAGGAAGTCGCCGAGGCGGACTTTGCGGGATACGGAGACTAAATTGTGTCAATCTTCAACCTCACTTTTGGTAATTATACAACCGCCGTTGACTGTGCAATCTTCCATCTTTAGTACTAACCAATATATTTTTCACAGGGTATTTCTGCGTCTGTGTTGGCTTGGTCTGTTTGATAATTGGCGTTCTCACATTACTATCACACAGATATGGCTATTCGCTTATGCGGTATATCAGTGTCGGGGCCAATATTCTTGTCGGCCTGGCTATTACACTGCTCAGCACGATGGTCCTAACCGACGCGGCAGGGAACCTAGGGACAACGCCTTGGACACTTCCGGCCTTAACCTTGATATTGCTAACTTGTATGTTAATCTTACCCAGGGCGGATAGTTTGATATGATGCTAATGTGTTTCTAGTGCTGGGTTTACATCACCTTTCCATCTGATCCTAGTTGATCTTGATCCCTTAGAGGACTCAAAGTTCTGATCAGATTTGGGGGCTGGGTATGAAGATGTTCATGAACAATTTTCATGGGAGAGTAGTGAGGTGACGAGGTAGATAATCTATTGATTTCTAGGCAAACAATTACTTGACACATTCATTCATTCATCCAGTCTAGTTGTAAAAGGAGTAAATACAGACCACTGTTGAGCATCTCGATTCAATTAGTGATACTGAAGAGTAAGGGATACGGGTGAATAATAGAATGAGGATATCCAGAAACACTTAAATGCGTACCTAGCCAATGTCTGTAAGGGTGGAATAAGTAACCACTTAGTAACTAAGTACTATGTAACTAGCCCTGAGCGCCCTCATAAAGCGGCACCCGTAAAAGTCCCTAAAATGCGTACATAGAGCGACATATATATACCAGACTATTCAACCATTCAATGCATGGATATTGGGTTTTATGTTTTTTTTTTATTGTAGCCTATTAATGAGATCAAGCATCTCCAATAACAATAAAGGAATGCAAGATCAAACTGATTGCCCCAAAAGATACTTACTAGGTACCTCCATTGTACGTGTTAATTGAGTGAATGAGTAAGTCGCGGTGAGGTCACTCCTTTCAGGGAAAAAAAAAAAAGCCCCATTGCTGAATCATTCAATGTTAACTCCAGAATGATCCCGGGGAACTTGAACTTGAACTTCACCACTTCATACCTAATTATATTCATTCTATGCACTTCACCCCGGTGATTCCCTTTCTTTCTGTCCTTATAGGAGTTCATATCCCTTGAAAGCGTGAAGTTCCCAACTCCCGCGTCCCCACCATTCCACTTCCTTCCGCTCGATCGCGTCTTTAGTCTCCTGCAAACTCTTGAATTGCGCGTAACCGTACCTCCGCAGACTCAACCGCTGGATATCGCTTTCCAATCCTCCTTTTTCTTCTGATCTCTTTTGTTCTCTCATCTCTTTCTTGAAACCGACATACCTGCAAAGTTCCTTTATCTCAATTTCCTCAATTCTGCCGTGCCAGGACCTTCTCGGTCGCATGTGTTCGCAATAGCCGAATCACCACTGTCAAGGATGCTGCTTTCTGATCGCGCCACGGTCTCTGGCGTGTAGCCAACCTCTCACCATGTCACGCGCCTCGGCTGGCTTTGCAGATTTCTTCCCCACCGCCCCATCAGTCCTTCAGCAAAAGCGCTTCAAGACAGCGCAGGAACGACGGAAATTACATATCGAGGGTGATCAAATTTCTGAAAGGACCCCGGATTGTCCAGTGTCTCTTGCCCCGAGCACACCCGCGACCGTTGGGACACCTCTCAAACCCGATACAGACGAGGGGGGAGCTCGCACTCCATCGGTCCCCAACGAGCTTGAATTGACCATTCCCGCTAAGGCGAAAAGCGTGGAGGATCGGAATGGGCTACCTCCACCCACGGCAATCCCCATCTCATCACACATCGATACACTGACACCGCTCACCAATGCGGAGTCATCACCCCCTTGCAAATTAACTAGTCCATCACAGTCAAAGATCGCAGGCGGAGGTTCTCCGGGTACTTCTTCTAGACCAAATCCCGAAATCACCAAATCTTCCATCACTCCAATCCACACCCCTCCGACCCCTCAGTCGCAAACCCGACACCTCGAGCTTCATGTGAGAGGCTGCAAGGTTGTGCACGACCCCGATTTAGACAAGCGGACTTCGTCAAAAGAAAAGCGGAAAAAGCTCGAGTATGTGGACATTGTGAATAATGGTCAATCCAATGCACCACCCGATCCGCGTCGTGCGATTGCCAATTATACCCGTGGATCCGGCTGCAAACAGAAGACCAAATACCGACCCGCGCCTTACAATTTGAAGCCATGGTCATACGACGTGGCAACGAGCATTGGCCCCGGCCCCCCGATACAGGTAGTGGTGACGGGTTTTGACCCTTTGACTCCGATCGCTCCGATCAGCGCGCTTTTCGCAAGTTTTGGAGATGTGGCCGAAATCAAAAACCGCACAGACCCTATCACCGGCCGGTTCCTGGGGATCTGTTCGATCAAATACAAAGATAGCACCTCAGTCCGGGGAAATGGCCCGGCGTCAGCATCCAGTGCAGCCCGGCGTGCATACTTCGAATGCAAAAAAGAACAGCGTATTGGCACACGCAGGATTAGGGTCGAGCTGGATCGCGACGGGATTGTCTCAGATCGAATGGCCACGAAAGCAGTCGAGTCCCAGCGACTGGCTTCCAAGAATACTCTTCCGCCTGTAAGCGAACCGAGACCGGATGTCCAGATCAAGAAAAGCGAACCACCGCCGACTGCGCCTAAAGGTCCCTCGGGCAGGTCATCCTTACGGCCGGGGGTCGTTATCCCAGAAGGTCCTAGGGCCGGTGTCCGGTCGCCTGTTGTACAATCATTGGTCGAAGAAACTCCAATCTTGAGTCAGATCAAACGCGACCCATACATTTTCATTGCGCATTGTTACGTCCCCGTCCTCAGCACAACGGTTCCGCACTTGAGGAAGAGACTGAGGCTCTTTTCGTACAAGCATATTCGTTGCGACAAAACCGGCTACTATATCATCTTTGAGAACTCGCGCCGAGGTGAGGAGGAAACTGAACGCTGTTACCGACTATGCCACATGCAACCCTTGTTCACCTATATCATGAATATGGAGAGCCAGCCCTACGGGAACCCGAACTACGAACGAAGTCCCAGCCCCGAACGTCTTCGCGCCGAACAACGAAACAAGGCCGAAAAGGATCGGACAAGGAAAGAGGCCGACTTGGATATCGAAGAAGAGAAAAAGCAGCGTGCGCTTGATTTGGATCCATGCCGAGAGGTATTGTCTATCATTATTCGCGACCTGAGGGACAAGCTTCTCGAGGACGTGAAGTCACGCATAGCTGCTCCAGCTCTCTACGACTATTTGGAACCGAGTAAGCATGCGTCTAAAAGGGAAAGGCTGGGTATTTCGGACCCCGAAGGTACAAAACGATCTGTTTTCCAAATCGACAGCACTCCTGGCTCTCGAGGTGAAATGTCTGCCGGCCGAGACCCTCTCAGATCTTCAGGTCTCAACGTCCTTGCCCTTCCTCGTATCCGGAAAGCCCATGGTCTTGACCACGCGGGTGCTGCCTTCCTAGATGAACGGCGCAGGCAACCACTACGAAAGAAAGAAGTCCGGCCCTTGTATCATCGCCTACAGCAGTTGCACGATGATGAAGATTCGGATGACGAGCAGCGCACTCCTGCTACTAGGGATGCCGATGAGCGAGAGAGCCGACCCCCTAGTCGCGCAAGTTCAACGACATCGGAGTTTGAACGCGATGGAGGATACCAGTCAGACGATCTGGGATCGTCTCAAGACGTCGAAGAGCGCGGTGCTGAACATGTGGACGATTTGGATGCCACAAAACAAATTAGCGATCTCTCTCATGAACTTCAGCTGTCTCCCACGTCAGGCAAGAGAAAGCGACTGACCGAAGATGAAGAAGAAGCACGAAAGCGGCAACGACAGGAGGATGAGCTATTTGGCATTGACTCGGAAACAGTCGGACATGAGGGTGCGCTTCAAGACCTGAAAACTTCCACGGCCATTGGCGACGATCTTGCAGAGGATGACAACAAATTACCAACGCACGATCAACCCGCAGACAAGTTCACCGAGCTTGTCTCTCACAAACATCCCGACGGTGATGATCTTTCAGTCAGTGAACCGTGGAAAGCCGAACCTATCGATGAGCCGAAAACAGAGATTGAATGGGGCGTTTCCAAGGATATGCCCCGGGCCACGGTGGAAGATGATGAAACCATCGTGCTTGATTTGGATGGTTGGCAGCATCTGGTCAAGGATGAAGAAGATCTGCGATTTTTGCGAGAAATCCTACTGGATCAGTCAGAATCAATTATTCAAAATCTTGCTGCATGGGGTTGGAAACAGAAGGAGATAAAAGCTCTCAATGGCCTGGAAACTGGCACAACTCAGGACGCCATCAGTATCCCTGGCTATTATGTGCCAAATACCACAGGAGCTGCGCGGACGGAAGGTCGCAAAAGGATTCTTGAGGCAGAAAAGTCCAAATACCTGCCCCATCGGATCAAGGTTCAGAAAGCTCGTGAGGAGCGTGAAGCGAATGCAAAGGCAGACCCACAAGCAGCAGCAGCGGAAGCTGCCAGGATTGCAGCCGCTAAAACAATATCAAAATCGACATCCCGGTCAACGCGAGTCAACAACCGCCGGCTCATTGCAGACATTAATGCGCAAAAGCAAGCCCTTCCCACTGCGAACGGCGAAGGAGACGTTCTTCGATTCAATCAGCTTAAGAAGCGCAAAAAGCCTGTGCGCTTCGCTCGCTCTGCCATTCATAATTGGGGCTTGTATGCCGAGGAAAACATCACTGCCAATGACATGATCATCGAGTATGTCGGAGAGAAAGTGCGTCAGCAAGTTGCCGATATGAGAGAAAGACGATACCTGAAGAGCGGAATCGGCAGCAGTTATCTCTTCCGAATCGACGAGAACACCGTCATCGATGCGACAAAGAGAGGAGGAATTGCGCGATTCATCAATCACAGCTGTACACCCAACTGCACAGCTAAGATCATTAAGGTCGATGGCAGCAAACGGATTGTGATTTATGCGCTCAGGGATATCGAAAGAGGTTCGTGAACTGCGCTCGCTTCATGGGAAAACACATGCTAACAGAGCTTATTAGATGAAGAGCTCACGTACGACTACAAATTCGAAAGAGAGTGGGACAGCGATGATCGAATCCCCTGTCTCTGTGGCTCAACAGGCTGCAAGGGATTCCTCAATTAAACCCGCTTTCCAAGATTATCACCAAAGTTCTTTGGGAGGTTTGTTGACTCTCTTCTACCGGGTGGCGTTGAATCAGGCTGGCGTTTTCAGCGTGGGAGCATTGACGCATTTATCAATGGCAATCGTGATTTCATAAACTACAGACTCTCTTGTACAATATACCAATTCCAAAAGAATTTCGCCTGTTTTCCGTTTCGAGTCATGGCCCTGGAGCAGCAAAGTCCTCTTAGAAAGCAATGTGAGAGCGTAGATGTATCAAATCCCAGAAGAACTCGACTCGGATATCTGATAACCCTGGTGCCACTGCATAGGGTCCTTTTTCGAAGAGAAAGAAAAGGTAAGGAAGAGAGACTGGTTCTCAAAAACCGGTTCCTAGCCCTGGGGTATCGATTTGCGAAGCAATTTGGGTGAAAAGCGCATGTGGGATTATGTTGTTCAGACTGGAAAGACCTCGTATTAGCAAAACGAACAGCCAAGAAAAAGCAAAACAAAAGATGATATTCCTCACCAAGGTGGCTTGGAAGAAGGAAGTTCGCAATTCCTTCCTTAATCATATATGAATGACCGCAGTTCCCGCAGGTCAATTTCCCTTCCGTGACGTGCGTCTCAAGTAGCAACCGGTGCAAGTCTTTCAATGTCTGCTCGTTGTCAAGAGCCTCGCCCTCGGGCTTCGAGTCCGGAAGAGTCGGGAAACCAAGCTAAGATCGCAAGAGTTAGCTTACTTGTAATTGTCGGTGAATGCTGAATAGCTAGGTATCTGTTGTTGGATGTTGGGGTTGGATGTTCATACCTCGTTAGAAATGGTGCGCAGGGCTTCCCAGTCAATGCGGGGAAGGACGTTGCGGATGAATTCGGGCTGGAAATCCAGTTCCTGTTGCTCTAGCTCGGCATCGTTGAAATGTAATGGGAACGAGGCTGGTGATGTCTTGCATTCCTTCACGGCGCATGTCACGAAATTGGCGGTGATCACTTTCATTGTGGGGGATTTCGGGCAGGAATTGCAGGTAGATTGTTCGATGCGAAGGTTCTGGGGACCTTGGTCAATATGTAGAGATCGATTGGGTCTAGATAGGATATCAATTCAAAGGATAACGAACAACGTCGGTGGCCCCTCCGAGGGAGAAAAAAAAAGAGCCCCACGGCTTATCGGATATCATGTGATATGGATACCCGGACTACTATACCAGTTGATGTTTACTTTGAAATTGTATGTATATTATCTTACAGAGAAATTTCCTAGATTCAAACTGGATGATTTTATTAGCTTTGATTAGCCTTGATTAGCTATTATTCAGTTGTTCGGATCCTTCAAGGAGAATTATTTGATCTGGACATCCACCAGATCTAGATCGTCAATGTCATGATCGCCAAGACATGAATCTGGGTCGAGCTTGTCTCCGTCAAACAGGAGAAAGATATCATGGTCCACAGATATATTCTGTTTATCTCGAAAAGCAGATATGAGTCGTGAAATCAGTGTCTTTTTTCTTGCTTTGATTTTGAAATCGTCGTATCCAGGACTCCTCAGAATAAGTTTCATTGGCTCACCCTGGTCATCTTCTGGGGATTGCGACGCTGTAGGGGGCTTGTCGCTATCAGGCGAGAGGATCCGCTGATTAACCGGAAGAGGTAAATCGGTAACCGCTTCCATATGTATGCGCAGCTCTTTCTGGTCTGCAAAGTAGTCATCATCAATGCCAGGGATCGCCGCAGCGTTCTTTCCAGAGTTTATGTTTAGACTCCTGCACGTTGTCACGTCGAATAGACGTCGGCCCTTCCAGGTCAGATAGATTGATGCCTGTATTTGGGGATCGAAATTTTGGCGATTGCCCCATGCCAACCGCACATCTCTTAGCCGCTGTGACATTTTCCGATGGACGAGTAATGGTTTGGTGTTTACAATTTCAGATGTAATCATGATCTGAACAATCGGGTCATCCGCTGGAACTTCTGCCGGTTGAACAGGCTGAGGAGATTGAATAGGTCGAGGAGATTGAATAGGTCGAGGAGTTTGAACAGATTGAGGGCTTCGAGTTTCCGAGTCATCCGCGAGGACAATCACTGGTTTAACTGGCAGAGCACCTAGTGGTTCCGGACCACTGACTTTCTGCGGTGACTGGGGCAAGCGGTTTTCTGAGCTGCGTCTCTGGGTTGCCTCGCGTTGTTTGATTGGCTTGACTGACTCGGGTGAGGAATCATGCGAGGAAATAGGGAGTTCTTGTGGCTCTGGTAGTACAATTTTGTTGCTATCGACCTCACGGCTCACACTCCGCACCAGACTGCTATCATCGCGCCCTTTCCTCTTTTCCCCAGAAACTCGGCGCCGCTTCTCTCGTTTTGGGTCTTCGGTATCTTCGGTATCTTTGGTGTCTTCGGTATGCTCTGGAATTTCTGGTGATTTCGGCTTGTTGTGTGCTTCACGGTTCGCAGCAATAATATCAGAGTACGTTTGTTCTGAGCGTCGATAAAAATCAGTGCCAGTTTTTTCCGTATTCTTGATTGCCCATGAGGGCTTTTTGAAAAAGCTCATGACTCTCGGAACCGGGATTGGTCGTCAAAAATGCTAGTATGGTAGGATGACCGAACGGATTTAAGAGGTGACTCGGGGGGCACTTGTTTACAATCAGTGATATGTTAGTGGGAGAGTAGAATGCATGACATGAGCCTTGGGCATAAGCCAAACAATTGGCAGTTAAGTGGAGGGAACATGCATCATATATTTCCAGACTTGGGATAGGTGCAGTGGGACCTCAAGGAATACCGTCCTGTTTACCGCCTACTAGAAATGCACTAGCGCGCTTTCTGACAAGCGGAACATTTGACAATATAAGACCTATATTCTGTCGATTTCTTATGAATTGACTTTACATAGATATGGCTAGCTCGTGTCTTTCAAATCTAATCATTTCAATATTTTGAATGTTGTTTGCAAAGTTACTGAAAGGTATACTATTTTTATGACCGGCAATACCGGCAGAATATAATGGCGGTATCAGATTCCCTACGAAAACTTTATCAGCGATTCCCGCCCCGCTTGCGATGATAGTCCATCACCCTCACCGCCTTCCTGGTCTCTCACTTTCGAATGCTTCATCCCTCCGCCTAATTCAAAACACATCTCAACCAGGTATGGCTCTCTTTTCCCCTTGAACTATGCTCTGGCTGACAGGTAATAACTTTCAGACCACAACACCAATATGGAGAACGCCCCAACCTCCGAAGGGAAAGACCCCTCTGTCTTCTTGAGTGAGATCATCGGTGCGCCTGTGATCGTGAAGCTGAATTCCGGAGTCGTATACAAGGGTATGGACTCCTTTCAACTCCCAATGATTTCGCTTCTAATGAGCTTATATAGGCGAATTACAATCAGTCGATGGATACATGAACATTGCCCTCGAAAAGACGGAGGAATATGTGAACGGAAAACTACGACGAAACTACGGCGATGCTTTCGTGCGTGGAAATAATGGTTCGTCAATCCTTACTTTTCTTCCAATCCTATGAATTGCGCGACGGCTTTCTGACTAGCGTCTACAGTACTCTACATCTCCAGTTAAATCCAAAAATACACTGTTCGATGTTATCGATTGGGCCCACCTATGATAGCCTGCAGGTGGATAAGAAAGGCGCGCTTCGAGTGCCATCGCAATGGTTTAGATTCTTTTAGCTAATAGGGGGACAGCATACTAGCCTAGATGGTGATTGACCAGCTCTTTTTATGATGCAGTTGACCAGACTTGCGAGCCTGGGGTTATGGAGGCTACCTGCCTGGGGGCTCTGTTTTCCCCTGCTTTGTACTGAGCTGAACATCGGTGCCTACGACCATGAGCTCCTGTCCATGAGCTCCTGTTTTTTGCCCAGCGATTTGGTAATCTTTTCTGGCGATGCGGCGATGTGCCATTCATTGACCTTGTGTTTTGATTGGCGCAAAATACATTCACGCAGTAATATATGGCATTTGATCCCACTAGGACTTGATTATCTTACCTACATACATAGGTTGGTGGTACGTTCCTAGGAAGGTTGTACCTATGTATATTGTACCTTTATTGTACCCCCCGCGGAGCCCTGCTCATAAGCCCTGATTAAGTAAGCTTTCCTAAGTCCCCGCGGTACTTTTTAAAGATCTTTCCTCGCGCCTCACCCAGGTCTTCAGGACTTTTTTTTTACCGTCACCTACGAAGATGTTACAAGCAATCAAGTTCAGCAAGGGCAACCTTGAGATTCTAGATCAGTTACAGCTTCCCTTCGTCGAAGAATACATTCCCATTCGGACTACAGAAGATGGATGGCACGCAATCAGAGATATGAAAGTCCGCGGGGCACCTGCTATCGCTATCGTCGCAATGCTTGCCCTCGCCTCGGAACTAACGTCTGCTGTGGACGGTGAAAAGCTTTCACAATCATCAGAAGAGGTGTGCCAGTATATCACAGAGAAGCTTGCTTATCTTGTGACGAGTCGGCCAACTGCCGTCAATCTCGCTGATGCTGCGCGCAAGCTGGAGACCGTAGTGGTCAATCGCACGAAAACATCGGGCTCCACTGGCCAAGAAGTCGCAGCCGCGTTTATCCAGGCGGCAGAGGATATGATGGGAAAGGATCTCGAGGATAACAAGAGAATTGGGCACAATGGCGCAGAATGGATCGCCACTCATGCGGCCAGAGGGAATTCAGAAGTTGCTGTGTTGACTCACTGCAACACTGGGTAGGGCCGATTTACTACGTTATCCGTTATCTGTCGTATGTTCTCACTAATCCTGAATCACTAGCTCTCTCGCCACGTCTGGATATGGCACCGCATTGGGTGTGGTTCGTTCGCTGGCCTCGAAGAACATCCTACGTCACGCTTATTGCACAGAGACAAGGCCCTACAACCAGGGGTCTCGCCTTACAGCCTTCGAGTTGGTTCACGACAAAATTCCAGCTACACTCATCACGGATTCTATGGCGGCCGCTTTGCTCGCAGATACCCAAGTGGGCGTGAATGCAATTGTGGTGGGAGCTGATAGGGTAGCAGCCAATGGTGATACAGCCAACAAAATCGGCACATATGCCCTGGCTGTCTTGGCAAAGTACCACGGTGTCAAGTTCCTCGTTGCAGCACCACTAACAACAATCGATATGGCCACAAAATCAGGAAAGGACATTGTCATTGAGCAACGTGCAGCATCCGAGGTGACCAGCATCAAAGGTCCCCGTGCAGGCTCTGAGGCCACCGACCAGATTGCGATTGAGACCGTGAAAATTGCCGCGCCAGGAGTCAATGTCTGGAACCCGGCATTTGACATTACTCCTGCAAGTTTGATCGATGGGATTATCACAGAGATTGGAGTTGTAGAGAAGGGATCCGATGGCCAGTATCACTTGGGTGGGCTATTTGATGGCTCTGCTTTTTGATCCTGATCTGTGCCTAGTTGACTTGGGTCTGTCTCATCGACAGATGTAGTCTCCGCTGCAGCAGTACCCTGCTTTTCGAAAGATGCCAAGAGTTCATCAACTTTGCTTTCAATTGTGTTGAGATGATTCTCCAGAGCGGAGGCAGTCATTTCACCCCTAAATATATGATGTCAATACCATGAATTTATTTATGTAAGCTATAAGCGGGCTCACGTACTTTGCAAGATCTGCGAGTGCCTATATCATGAGTTAGCTATCCAATCTTGGAGCAGTTGGTAGATGTAAGAGGGGCAATGTTGCCAAGCAGCGTAGTTCAGGGAAATAGATGCTGCTTGCGAACACCGAAGTAGGGGTACTTACTTTCGTCATATCAAATTCTGCATCCGGTCTGGACATAATGAGCGTTTGAAGGTGTATTATTGCTGAGTACAAGGGAATTTTGAAGACAAGATTGTCCGCGGGCCCTGCAGGTGACGAGCGGGATGTCCACCGGGGCCCATCCACACGATTAGTCATCCCGAACCCGAGATAGATCCCCGATAAGAAAAGAGAAAAAAAAACCTCTTCCTCACTACTATCACTACTATACCACCCACTTCTCGTCATCATGGGAGTGCAAAAGAAGACTCGCAAGTTTGCGCTGGCCAAGAGAGCCATCTCCATGCGCGACAATCGCCTGTTCGTCACAACCACGAAACACAGTCTTGTTGCGACTTGCTAACAGTCGGTTATAGGAAGCAAAATCAAGACAAGACCGAGAAAGGCAAAGAAGCCAAAAAGGATGATCTCGTCAAAGAGGCGTAAGGATATTGTATAGCACTATCACAATATCCATACTGACAATTTCGCTTCTAGCCCCCAAGCTCCTTCGTCAATGTTCTTCCAGTTCAACACGGCCCTCGCCCCCCCATACTCCGTGCTGGTCGATACCAATTTCATCTCTCACACCATTCAGCATAAACTCGAGGTCATTCCAACAATGCTCGATTGCTTGTACGCCAAATGTATCCCTATCGTCACCGATTGCGTACTTGCCGAGTTGGAGAAGCTTGGCCCCAAATACCGACTTGCCCTGCGTGTAGCCAAGGACCCTCGGTTCGAGCGAGTCAAGTGTGATCACAAGGGAACATATGCCGATGACTGTCTGGTCGACCGTGTTATCAAGCACCGTGTCTACATTGTCGCCACAAACGATCGTGATCTCAAGAGACGTATTCGGTATGTAACCTACATTTCGACGCCATTCTCGCTGTACCAGCCAAACTCTAATAATTGTAATAGCAAAATTCCTGGAGCACCCATCATGAGTGTCGCTCGCGGCAAATATGTGATTGAACGACTTCCCGATGCCCCCGAAAAATGAGCGCCTTGAACGACATCCCACCGCCCAGTCGTCTGCCGCTATTGCAACCACACATGATACCCACCAAAATTTCCGTTTCTTTCTTTGCCAGAAATTTGTAACACAATTTTCGCCTCTGGGCACCGGGCAAGCAACCAACCACAACACGCAAGACCAAATTATGCCGTCAATCGACTGTATCCGATCAAACAAAACGACTGCACCGAGAACCAGCAGCATCGCTTCTCCCAGGGCTGGCTTTAGTACTTTAAACCTATGTGCCAATGGAATGAATCATTTGAAGGACCCGGGGCTTCTCAGGCAAGGTTATACAGTGGCACATTTATGTCTTCTCCGTCTATAGTGACCACCAATGCAAATGTGATTGTAATCTAGAAAGACGCCTGGGTGTCGAATCCCTAGCTGATCATAGTCATTACCTGAGGGCTCCTGAGCCATGCCGTCTTTCATTTGTGAAGCTCGTAGTGCATTGGCTTGCAATGTATATTCATATCTGTTAACCATAAGTTTCTATCAATTGACGAACCGCATGCCGGACAAGACGAGTGTTGGCAAAGCTCTGGATCATTTTCTGTCGCGACATCATTATGTGTAGTGGAGGTAAATCCGCGAGTAGTGAGCTGGATTCAACCAAATCATCACCAGGAGCTGCGATATCGAAAAGCTGCTTCAGTATTCGTAAAGAGTACAATGAAGCTTGCATTTGAGCAAGAAGGTGAATATCCGCCCATTTGGTACTTTGCGTCATATATCCCTTTGTAAGAAAGCTCTCCAATTCCTTCGCACTCGGAACTGTAGTTGTGCCGGCCCCTTCGCGGTAGATATCGGAAAGAGCATACAAAACCCAGAAGCTCTCCGGTGCGAGACCTTGGTCAAAGGTAGCATGTGCATGGGCCAGACGTCTCCGGAGGAGATCCAGGTCGGACGTTACGGTTTTTATTCCGCTTAAAGTGATCTCCTCGGCCACGATCCTTCCACCTCTGCGGACAAATTCATGTACAGCCGCAAACTGGTTGGCAGCAGGACGGGAAATGTTGAAAAATGAATACCCAAGGGACCTATAGGTTCGACCTTGCTCCCAGGCACATCGCCTGGAAGAGTCTTCGTTCAAAATCCCGAGATAGACGTGTGGCTCTTCACCGGAGCTGTAAATACTGGGAAGTTCATACTGCCAAAATAACTCCGATACCCTTGGATCCATTGGTTGTGCGGACTGCCCTGCTCCACGTATCACCTCGTTATCTTTGGTCTCAGGTTGATACTCTCGAAGAAACTCCAGATACTCTGAGGAGAGCTCGGTCGCCTGACTACTCTCCTTAGCTATCCGCGTAAGTTCAGCAAAACGCAGGTGATGATTTTTCTGCAATTCGTAACCAAACCACTGAACGCTGGGGATGCCCAATCGACCAGAGAGCGAATGAGGACAGATTCTCAGCCCTCGAATATCTGGGTCGGCCGGATTCCAAACACCTGAGGACGTTTGCACCGAGTCTAAAAATAAGACCGCGCCATTGTCGCCAAGATCGTGAAGCAGGAGATCCGAATCATCTGTCAACACCGCACAGCCGGTAAGTTTTGCCACACGGGCACACTCGACATCAGCTTCTCCTGGCACCATGACGGTGATTTCGGCCCAGGGGTAATCAGTATCGGCGACAAGACAACTGACATCATCGTCAACCTCTTTCCGGATCCGTTCCTTAGTCCATCGGGTCCGCAAGTCCTCAAAGACCGCCGAGACCATGAAAGGATTCTCTGGGAGACCCTTCCGTCGCTGAGGCAAGCCTCGACTGCACCAGACCTGTCCGCGTTTAGTCGGGATGACATCGCGACATTTGGGCGTTGCAGGCAGAGACAGGTTCCGACGAGCCAATTCCAATCGATGCCGTAACTTTTCAATTCTGGAATAGCGGACTTCTCGCTTCGAGACGGGCAAGGCGCCATCAAAGCATATCTTATTTCTAAAAGGCAGAGAAAGAAAGAAGAATTGATATCAGAGGATAACTGTGTTTTCAGACTAGTGTGAGGGCTTACATGTTAACCCCCATTCTGGTTAATTGGAGAAGGAAGCTGCTGACCCCACGACTGATTTCATCACAGGTTGGCTGGTAGTCAAGGACATCGCTGCTTGGGTCCATCCAGCCCAAGAGCCGACGGTAGACATGGTATACTAGACTGGGTCCGTCAATGACAACGGCTTGGACGTGCGGAAGTTCTGAATCGACTGCCCTCCCATCTAACAAGACACTTTCGGCATATGGAAGCAGGTGCCTGGTTAAGTGAGGGATTCCCATAGCCGATGTGTGGTAGAACCCTTCTGGTTGTGGCGGTTGTTTTTTTTCCCACCTCTTTTTTTTTCGTATTAGTCAGGGGTGAGGCGCCGGTTCCAACTCTAGACAAGAACAGTCGCTTGTACGACCTTGTCATGTCGTTCTGGTCGTCTTGATAGTCTCTTTATATGCCTTTTGTTTAAGATGTTTCCCTCTTAATTGGTGTTGTAGCTAGAGTATAGGCAGTAAAAATAGTTTAATATGTGCAAAACAACTTTATGTATAACCATTGATATAGATTCGACGTAACACGCATGATAGATTAACAAAGAAAGAAAACAAAAGGCAGTGATGCTCCGAGAAATATTTATGCAGTAATTATGGATCTGTCCAATTGAAATTACCGAGCAGATCGCAAGAATCCAACAACTCCGCGACAGTAGCCCACCAGCTCAGCCAGGCGCTTTCCCTCCCGCTGTTGCTCAGCAGACCAAATTGCTAGAGCGTCTTGCAACAGACGATACTGAGGCTCATCTTGAGTAGAGCTGAGACTCACAGTGTCGGCATGAATTTTCAAAAAGACCGCCATCCAAGCATTGACAAGCTCAAAGTCTCTCTTCGACTTCAGGCGAGCAGTCAGGGCAACAACGAAATCGGACAGCTCAGAGTGTCCATCACGTACCCGAGGATCCAGTGAGCGAATCTCGAGATCTGCTTTTGCTGGAGATAAGGTCTTGAGATGGTCGATAAATGAGCTGAAGTCACCGGAATCATGGCCGGATGCCAATGATCGAGTGAAAATAGATTGAGGAGCACTGGCGGTCCCACCATTTTGCAACTTGGCAATCCGCATCCTTTCGGCTTCAGCGATTTTGGCCACTGATGTCGCGTCGCTATCCTCGGCGCCGGGGATTTCGCTGGCGGCCTCGGGCCCGCTGGAACCGAGGAGAGAAGGAAGGAAGAAAGGAGCCTTCTCAGGTGCCTTGGGGGCTTCCTTGGGACGATTACGTTCCTATTGAACTGTTAGCTAGAGACTTGCACTCGTGCAGGAATAAAAACTTACCCGTATAGTATCTAGGTGAATCAATGACTGCCATCTGCTCTTGGGAACAAGACTCAGAGTCATCATGTCGTGTTGTAGTTGTTCCGTCGCTAGTACGGGGCCATCTTCCTCATCTTGCTCGGTAGTATCCACAAAGGCAGCTTCAATGAGACCAGCACCGCCTTCTCCTGACGTTGCGGGGAGCCCAACGTTCTCAATAATGTTCTCGTCCAGATTTTTGGTCGACACAGGCATGAAAAGGCTGCGATTGCTCCAAAGGCTGATGCCAATGCTACCGGCGTGTGCGGTGGCGAGGAATTCACCGGTTGAAGACATGGCCAGAGCGACACATGTGCTTGAAACCCGGAAAATGTCAATCAGATGTCCGGTGGGCATATCCCATACGCGTACCACCGAATCCATGGAGGCAGCAACAATCCATCGTCCATCATTTGAGAAGATGAAATCATTGACTTGACCCACACATCCCCAGAACTCACGAACGAGCTTTCTGGTCTCGAGGTCAATCACACGGATGGAGAGGTCGTCACAGCTGAAGGCGACTAATTCGCTAGCCTTGTTATAGCGAAGTCCAGTAATGGCAGCCATGGGGTGCCAGTCTAGTTCATCAATGAATTTTCCAGAGAGAAGATCCCAAAACTATATTCCAGAAAGGTCAATTTGTGAATTCCGAGAAAAAGGAGGTAATGGTGGGGTGTACCTTGACTTTGCCATCCAGACCACAGCTGACAACGGTGCGGTTCAAGCTGTCAATCATCAAGCCAGTCACAGCCTTGGTGTGTTTAGTAGCCGCAGCGATCGTGGCCTGAGCATTAGATTTGATGCCACGGCCAGCTTGGGGGCGAGCCGGGAAACTTTGTCGGTGCAGACCTGACTGCATGTTGAACATGTCGATAGACCCTCCAGCGGATCCGATGACAGCGAAAGTACCACATTGTGAAACAGTCACACTCTGCGAGTAATGAATTAGCAAAAGAGAAAATCTGTTCAATCATGTGTAAAACCCTGCATACCTTGACTTCTGTTCCATCACTGGTTGCAAACGCCCATCGACCTGCCTTCTTTTTGCCCCAGAACCAAGTACGTGCGAACTTGTCGCCTCGGTGACCAGTAACCACGCTTTCCCAGCCGGTTGCATTGGAAGCATCGGCGTTTGTAACCTTAGGGTTTGACCAGATCGGACCGGAAGTAGTGACTCCCATTCCGCCATCACGGTTGAGGCTGCAGGCAATGCATGTAACCTCGGGAGCCTTGAGATCCTCTGTACTTGAGATGTTCGATGGTCCTCCCTTCTTAGCCTTGCGCTCCAAGCTACCCTGCGAGATCTCGGTGTGCTGGCTGTCTTTGCGCAGACTAAGCCCCCAGAGACTGCAATCCTTGCTTGCACTAAGAAGCCACTTGCCGCCAGACTCGGAACCATCTGAAGATGTCGGCAGGAAATCGAGAGCGCTGACTGCGGCAGAGTGTCCATTTCTTCTGTGAAGAGGTCTAGGAATGGGCGAAAATGGTGTTTCGTCGAAGATCCAAGTCTTCAAAGAATTGTCATCGCCTGATGACACGAGCACTGGCTGTCCATCCAAGAACTCAACACGGTTAGCGCCCATGGGCTTTTCGCCGCTTGACACTCGATGGGCTCCACGAAGAATGCCTGCAATGCGACCTCCATTATTCAAGTCCCAGAGTGTGATATCGCCGCTACCACTTGACGCCGTGGCCATGACACCTGAGC